TTTTGACATTTGGTTTGGAAAATTGTATTTGTTCATGGTTTCGGCTATTTTAAAAGTTGAGAAAAATCATAAAAAATGCTTTTCCGATTTTTGAAAGTTGTTTTCGGCAACTCTTCCAGTACTGGGTTCCAGCTGTTGCAACATAACAAAAATAAAAAAGTTGTCGATCTCAAAGATATGGTTTTGGAACTCTTTAAATTTTTGGAGTCTTGTTTAACTGAAATTTATGATAACACCAAACCAATGTGAGATCCAGTTTACTATCAGTAAGGTAATTTTCATTGTGTTGTGAATTTTCTGTAGAATATGTTCCATTTTTAGTGTTACTTCAATAACTTTTTTGCATCATAGCCATTTTGTTATCGGAGAGCGTAATTTGCCCTTGTTTTTAGCAAACCAACTTGCTTTGAAATTAGTTAAAGCATTATCAAATTTTGAGACTTTTTTTAGAAAAAAACTCAAAAAATCATGCCAAGATCTGAATAGGTGCAAAGACAAAAAATGAAAAAAATAAACTTCAGGCTTTTGATTTTAAAAAGATTTAATCTCATATACGTTTTGTGGTCAAAGCATTCAGGTTATTCTGATTTTTTTTAACCAATGCTCGGCGTGAGCACTGTTCGACGTGAGTCAAGGGCACCATAATTACCTGAAAAGGCGTTTGTCTCTTAGTACTTTTGGCAATTCAAAGTTTTAACACAGAAAATTAAACAAGCGTGAAGCAGATCTTTGCATAACTTGTGATACAACGCCAGCACATCATTGTAAGCGAGCGAATAGAAAATGAGACGGAAAGAACAAAAAATACAAAATTTGATATCGGAAAAAGGATAGTAAGTTTAGACACAAAGCCGAAGCTGAGATTCGCACCAAGTGCAAAAAAAAGCAATTATAGTTGAATGCATCTTGACGCTGAGAAATTAGCTAACAGAACTTCTTCGAGCTTTGTTACCACTGACGAAAGAAGTGGAAGAACGAGAAAAAATGCTCTTTTTGTGTTTTATTCTGCTTAAGTTTTTCAAAGATGCCCATGTGGGCTTGAACTCGGGCATTCAAAAAATTAATGCCCGAGTCTTTTTGATCTCAAATATACCACCGGACTTTCAAAAGGAAGAAAAATTAATTAAGAAAACGACAGAATTGAAAACGACATCCACTAAGCTGAAACTCGACCAAAATTTTTGTGAAAAAAAATTAGGAAACTATTTCATGTAATGTCCAGATAGGATACACGATAACTATACAAGATGTGGATGCAGGTCAAACGACATAACTTGGAAACTAAACCGAGAGAGCTAAAAACTAAACTTGGAAACTAAACCATGAAGTCGAAAAACCATCAGTAGAAAATTAATATCAAAGCTCTATCATTATACATACAATGGTTTGAGTTCTTGATATGGCATGAGTACTAAATATTACCCGGTAGTTTAATTTGAAATTTAATGAAACTGAGCAGATCAGAAGAATAGAAGCATCATAAACACATCAAATAATTTTGTTAAAATCGTTGTTAACCTGAAAAAATTACATTTTCCGGTTTGATAACTCTTGCTAATTGCAAGCGTAAAATCAGTCAAAACCGAAGAAATATTTCTGAATAGGTTTTTAGTTTTTATCATTAAGAGGCCAAACTGTGCATTTTGTGAATTAAAAGCGGATTCAGCAAAAAGGACGCTACTTTTGTTTTTCTCTTGTTCTTTCATTCTTTTTGATCGTTCCGACAAAATTTGATCATGTTTAAAGACTTGTCTCTTGAATCTAGGAACATTCAGACACAAAAATTTGGCCTCGTAATTTTTGATCGGCTGCCTAGCCGACATTGCGCCGTTAGACGTCCTATGAGTCGAAAACAAAAAAAAATGCCTTAATAAAATATTTTCATTAAAAAATTTTTAGCTACTATTTTTTGAATCTTTGAACCTTTGCAACACAAACTACCTGATTTTTTGAAAATCACTTGTTTTAGGTTACTAGCCAACACAACATAAGCCGAAAATTTTTAGACCAAATAAAGCTTTTATGTAAATAAAACAGCAAAAAAAAATATACAAAGTTAGGCTATCACATATTTAAATCACAGGAATACATCAAAAACACTTGCATATACGATTAAATTTGCCGACCGCATAAAAGTTGACAGTGTGGCAATTAAACCGACAAAATTTAAGCAGAGAACTGAAAATTCGACCTTGAAAATTCGCGGTAAAAAATCCATTTCATACATACTGACAAACACGTTACCTCTTTGCCAGGTGGGAAGGAGTCTGAAAAATTCTCAGCTTCTGTGATAAAAACATTTTCAAATTGAATTTCAATTTCAATTTCAGTTGTAATTATAACTTGCTCCAGCTAGTGTGATAATTAAAAATCCACAAAAAAATAATAACAATTATATAATTGGAAAAGCCAGTGCTGTCGAATGTATTGTTAACACAAAACAATTCAGAAGTTCTGCTGACTAATTTGAATTCTCTTCTCGACATATTTTATAACATCAGCCGGGTCATATCCAAATGCCTCGTATTCAAACTTCAGTTTTTTTGCCAGTTTCTTCACATCGTTTAAATTTACATCTATAAAAGCGTTAGGGTGGTCCATCATAAATGGACACTCCGTGAACTTCGGACTTATAGGCGCTGTATCCGCACTGTAACTCAAACCTTCGTGTAAGTTCGTTTTATTATAAATCAAATAATTGAGGTCTGATTTTAAGTTTTCAAAGCGTCCGATGAAGGAGTAGTTTGACAGGCACGGATTGCAATAATCGAAGTAGCTCGTAAAGTGGTCATCGTCGTGTTTATACACGTCTAAGTCTTCATCACTCGCCAGTTTTCGTAAAATTTCACCCAAACTTGGAGTTCCGATTGTGTTGGTAATTTTAAATCTCTTTTTAAAGAACCATTTTTGGTTCGGATCGCAAAACTTGTTAAAATAGGCTGAAATAATTTTCATAATCGGCTCTCTGACAAAAATTGACCCTGTGAATGAAGTGATAACCTTTTGAAGTTCAGGCAGGGTCATCTTGTCCATTTTTTTCACATCAGGATCTACAATTGGGTGATAATAGGGCTGCTCGTGGATATTTTTGCCCCCGTGAAACGCCGCCCACCATACGAAAGAGCGCATTGTCGTTCCTGTTTTTGCCACTCGGCATTCGTAGAATTTATACTCGGGTAAAACACTGTAGAATTTTCCATTTTTGCGGAAATGAAATTGAAGTAACTTATCTCTATCTGTGTTTGATAATTGAGGATGTAACGCACAGAATTTGTTTAGTTTTTTCAGCCGAATTTTTTGTTTTTCCTCTGGTTTCAAAGCGGATCCTTCTAGCTTCTCAATTGCTGTGAGGACGGGTTTGACGGTCACTTTTGTCGGCTTAGCTGCAACTCTACTTCTTGGATTGGAAAAATGATGATCTTCGGAATTCGATGGGCGCTGGAGAAAAAACATAGACAAGGATATAACGGTGGCCAATAAGCACAATATAGTAACAGCGAAAGGTTTTCTCCGACGTAACATTTCCACAAACTGCTAAATTATGGTTGAGGTGGAATTTGATCTAAATTAAAGGTGTATAAGGTGAGCAGATATAAAACTAATTCTGCAGCTGAAATACTAAAATATTTAACAGAGTTTCCGAGACAGCTTTGAATTTGTGTAAATATCTCTTTGGCCGTAAATCACCAATAAATAATTTACTCAACTCTGAGCTGAAAGTCAAATGCACTGGCGAATCTAGGATTGTCTCGATGGGAGGAGCGGATTTTCAAAAAAATTTTTGTCGACCTTTTTTTTAGTTCGATCAAATTGATTTTCCGCACAATACCAGAACACTAGAGAAACCCTATTTAACAAAAAAAATTCAGCTGAAGTTTTGGCAAATTTTTGGAAAAAAAGAAAAATTTTGACCAAAAAATTGCATGTTTTGGCGCGCGCTCCCCTTCAGAATTAGAATATATTGGGGTCCAAAGTGCCTTCAGGAAAGTCTTAGGGTTCGTCGGCCAAAAATGGATATCATAAAATAATAACGAAGGTCGAATCCCTAAGGGGGCCTAAATCCGCCCCTAGTCGATTGGGTCAAGTTTGACCAAATTTGGAGATGTTATACTTCTAATGCCAGAAAAAGCAAGTGAATGTTACTACTAAATAACTTCAAATTGATTTGAGAGAACAGCAAAAGCCCAAACATCCGATTGCTTATTCACAATTACAAGTCAAAGAAAGCGCCATAGACGTTGGCCGTTGGTATTAATGATGTTCGTTGCGCGAATATAAACTATTCTGACAAATACCATTTTAACGAGCACTAGTCACTACCATAAACTAAATATGAACGGATCACACCATCAAAACAACAGAATATAAACCGAAAGTTGAATGTTTATCCTAAATCATCTAAAGATAGATGTCACTATTAGTCAGTAGTTACATGAAGTGAGGTCTATCTTTAGATTTTTATTGAAAAAACAGCGCTTACACACGGAGAAATAAAAATGCTAAGCTTTAACAAGATAATAAGAAATAAGAATGGAATCTTTACTTTATTATAATATAGGCTTCAAAACTACTACCGTTATATTAGTTTTTTTTACTAATGCTTAAGGCAACAGCTATAGATAGTCTCATGCAAAGATATCAAGCAGAGCGCCTCTTTGAAAAAAAACTAATTAATTCAGGCTTTAAAAAATAATAATTTTCATTTGGGACTGCAAAATAAAAAACAAAAATTTTTTTAAAAAAATGTGTTAATTCCACAGCACTGAAATCGAGGGGGGCCTAGCATTTAGCATGCGGTCCGATTATAGCACATAGTTTTAATGCAGCTTTTTGGGGAGTAAAAAACGCTTGTATTACTCCGAGAATGTGTTGTACTCAATTTTCTGAGAGACGACAGCTCGTAGAAGTGACATGTGGTCGAAAGGGAGTCCTGTTTATGGTTCGCTCACTTCTCTCTGCTTCAAGCTTGTATAAAATCTATACTTAAATGTTGAACTGCTTAACCTGTAATTTTTTTGATAATAATCAGTCATGATCCATAACAAAACGCTGAATAAGTATTATACTCTGACCAGTGTAATTGATTAGACCATCATTTGGACTGTTTAAATTATAATTAGGCTTAAACTAATCTCGCTTTTACCATTGTTTCCTGAAAACTATTGCGACCAACGTTTTAAGTATAACATTAAAATCAATATTAGGCAAATGATTTGCGCAAATCTATCATGCCGAAAATAGAAAACGTGACGAGCACTCGGTGCACTTTATCTGAAACTATTGTATGAGATTAGTTTTTATATCTGAATTACATGTGATTCACCTCAATTGGTGCTAATAACAAAGTTCAGAAAAGATTTTACAAAGCATCAAGACCGCTTGTATATCAGGGCAAAGCCCTGAATGTTCTGACTGCCCCTTACTTCAAATATCGAATAGTTTTTGGGAAAAGAAAATATTGAAAACCTATAAATTTTGGACAAAATAGAAGTGCGAAATGTTGAGTCGTACGAAATTAATACGACCAATTAGCTAGCCTCAATTCAATTTGGAACGATTTTGTTGAGCGGGATAATCCGCCACGCATTAATAATTCGCGTTATGCTCTCAGCGATATGAAGAAATTCTTCAAGGAATGCAAAATTTAGTCCAGAACATGATCAATTTGACAACTTTTAAATCCCCAGAACTTAACAAAAAATAATCGGAGGTAAAATATCTTTTTAAAATTGAACTCAAGAAGCTGTCTGATATCTTCAATGGGGTATAAAAAAATTTTGTCGAAAACTATTAATTCCATCGGCAAAAATTGACTGAAAAAAACCACACCGAGCATAAATATTCCGTTTTCTTCGAAAAACGGAACAACAAGTTACAAGACTGCTCGTATATCAATCAAAGCCTTGCATGTTCCGACAGCCCCTTAACCCATATCGAATAATTTTTAAGAAAAGGAAATACTGAAAAACTGTAAACTTTGGACAATATCAAAGTTCAAGTACGAAAGTTTGAGTAGTACAACAATATAATGACCAATTAGCAAGCTTGAATTAAATTTAGAACAATTTTGTTGTGCGGTATAATTCGCCACGCATAAATATTTTGCGTTAATTTTTCCGCATTATGGATAAAATATTCGAAGTGCGCTTAATTTAGCGCAGAGTATGGCCAAATTGGCCCTTTTCAAACTCCCAGTACTTTGCAAAAAATGATCCGAGGTAAAATAATTTTTTACACTTGATTTTAGGGAGTCAATATTTTCAATAGGGAATAGTTTTTTCCTAAAAACTATCATTTCGCTTGCAAAAAAATGACTGAATAAAAAACTCTCTGTAAATTTCGTTTTATTTTCAAAAATCGGAACAATAACTTAGGTTTTATTTAAATGGGTCATTTTTGTAAGATTTTTGCAAGATTCTTACTAGCTTTTATGAGATACTCGTTCAAAACTAATCAATTTTGCAAGAATTTTGCAAAATATTACAAAATTCTTGGATAATCCACTAATTTTGAATGATGTATCTAGTAGAAATCTTGCAAGATCTTACAAGATAGCCCGCCACATACAAGATCTTACAAGACGGTTCATCTGCGCCAACTAGGGTGATAGTCAAACAGGAATGTGTATTTAGTGTGTGATAGTCAAAATAGTCAAAAGTTTAGTGCGTGAGTTTCAAAGCACCGGGTAGCTTTTAGCTTAAAATTACGATCAGTTTCGAAACTTATCATTTCTAACAATTTTAAATCAATTACGTATTGTACCGTTCAAGCTTATTGTATTACCAAAAGATTTCTGCTTCATAGAGTCGCGTTTGAGTTTAGCGTCAGATTTGCAAACTGTTTTGAATCCGCTTCAAGATTAACCCTCATAATAATCATTGTTGAATCAAAGATAAATCTAGAAAAGGTTTTTGCCTCGTAGTTGACCAAAGCAAAAAACTTAAATCCGAGGAACTGTAGAAATTCGAAAAGTATTGAAGCAATTATACACAAGAGTGTATTTTTTTGCATTTATTGAAATATCAGTGAATTGCTGAAAAACTTTGATCCTATCGAGAGTTAATTATCCGTTATAAAAAAAGTATTTATAATCAATCTTTGATGCTAAAAACAAACAGTTAAGTCGAAGCAGCACCAATTTGGGAGCCATGCTTCCTCCGAGCAACCAATCAACATAAGTTTTAACTTAAATTTTGATTGCATATTAAATTCTTCAAAAAACTTTAAATATTGAAAAATTGGTAAAACAGTTGTATATGTCTTGGGTAAGGATTAGAGAAAAACTAAAATCAACAAAACGTCGAAAAGTATATCACCAAAAAAAATCCAATTGATTAATCTAAAGTAATTAGTCATATCTGAATTGAGCGGGTGTGGTAACTAACTGAACCTCTAAGGTTTGTAATGAAAACTGAATTGGTTTCAAAGGATTAATTTAACCGTTGAACCATATTGTTTTACTTGTGTTAGTTTCCGATTGTTGACTGTGTACGGATTCACAGATCGGAGAGAGAATGACTCTCTAACTTTGCAATAAAGGTCGTGTAGAGTTGACCTTGGTAATTTATAATAATGTACTATAATTTACAGATAACAATATGAATAGCAAGTTCAAGGCCACTATGTGATTACTGCATGGTTACTGCAATTGTAGTAGCAGTTGCGGTACCACATACCCCCTCGGCCGAGAAAAATTTTATAATATATTATCAAATTTTAATAATAATGAATAGGAGTTTGAATACTCAGTTTAAGGAGTTTTATTCTTTTTACAATTATTTATAATCACTTTCCCTCTCTTTCCTCGTGTTCTTCTTCGAAATTTAGTGGGACTCGCCACTCTGCGTTCCATGATCGGTTTATGTTGAGAGCCTCGCTGCCAAACTTTCTTCGGAAAAGGTGCTTCTCAAGCAGACCAAATTTGGTTTCCACCGAATTCGACGCCCCGGGTCTGAAGTTTGCTAACTTAATTCGGTACGCTTCAAGCGCGGCTCGATTTAGATCTAAAAGATCATTTTGATCCTCGATAACCTTCACCGAATGCTTAATCGGGTTTCCGTATCTTGTTGGCCCCTTCTTGGCTCTTCCGCTTTTACGAACCGAAGTGTCCTCAACTTCTGATTCATCCGAGAACCCCGGAGGATTCATAGATTTATCTTCGACGTCCGCGTCCTCTTTAGACCGTAAAATCTCTGCCGCCGTAAGTTGTACTCCGAGTTCGAGTACTTGGTCAGCTAACCGATTCCAGTCATTTGCCGATAAATCTTTACTATTGAATGTGTCGAGGATTGTTTCGGGAGATGTATTTCGCGAGATTTCTTTCTTGTTTCTCGTATTGCCGTGTGTATTTGATGTTGAATTTGGTACGTCTCTTGTGTTGGCCGAGCACGCCTGATCTTCCGCTTGAGATTCCTGCACTTCTGCTGCCGTCGCAGCATTTTTAGGTTGAGAAGTGTTTTGTTGAACATTCTTTGGGTTTATGCCCACCTTTGTCTTAGGTTTTGAGACGAAAGGGCCAGCCAGGTTTGGCTTTGCTCTTCGGACTGCTAGGTTTAGTCCCCCGCCTTGCAGAATGTCCTTTGACGTGACCACTGACGGGCTGTCCTGAAATTGCAGCTTAGCATTAGATGGATCTATGCTTTGCTGCTCTAGCAGTAATTCCTCGTCCGACTGACTGATCTCGGCCTCGTCCTGTTCGTTGGCCTGTCGCTTCGATTGCCGCTGCTGCTTACTCTTAGGTTCTTCTCCTGTTGGAGAACGCCTGTTGTTGCCTTTCTCTTTATCTGGAACAGCAACCTTAACTTTAGCGACGTCACTCTTGCGGTAGATGGACCCTGCTGCTGTCTTGACAGTGGAGGGCGTTTCGGTCACGACTCTTCCTTTCAATGGCTTCATAAGGGCTTTACCACTTTTCCTCCCCTCGTCCTTTCTAATCAGGATTGGGGACGACTGATTGAAGATGGTTTCTGGCTTGTCTTCAATAAACCCACGTTTCCACGAATACAGCATCGGTTAATGGTACTCGTCTCGTCCACCGTACGCCTTAGGTCATTAGCAGATGTATCGCGGCGTGTTTGATTCCATCTGGCATTGGCCTCTAGAAGCTCTTTCAAGGCCCGCGCTCTTGCTCGATCCTTTGCCATGTCTTCTTGTTGCTTGAATAAAGGACTCATGTCGCGGCTATTTTGTCCTTTACGAACAATTTTTAGATTATCGCGAGACTGGTCGATTCGCTTTTTAAGTTGAGAGGCCGTCAGAGCTGAACGTTCCAGGTGTTCCTTATCTAAACGATCAGAGTTTCGTAAAAACCTATCACTAAGAATTTTAAATTCTGTTTTT